TGAAACTTTTAATTTTAACTGTAATTTTCGTAACTTTCGGGTATTTAAAAACTTGTTATTCAGTTATTTAAATCGATTTATTATAGGTATAGAAGATGTAGATGAACCTTCGACTCCTGTTCATAGAGTAAGTGGTGTGTGTTCAAAATTGCAGTGCGTATTTTTATATATTTTCATGAATTTTACAATTTTATAAATGTCACTTTGGCGGATTTTGATTTTCTCTTAATGTTTATTAATATATTATAACATTATTTTATAGCCTAGGGATATACTTTTATAAATTAACAATAAGGAATTACTAAATTTAAATATATGCACGCTATGCAATCAATTTTTTAGTGAAAATGTCATTTTTTTCAGTAATACAGAATGCTGTATAAATTAATTTCAATATCGAAAAGGAAGGGAAGAAAATTTGTTAATAAAGTTTAGACATACTTTTATTCAATACTTCTTATAGTCCTTTGCAAAAATTAATAATATATTGTTAAATAAATCTAGTATTACATATAGTTAATATTTGCCACTTATTATGTTCACTTATGTGTTTAATAAACACATTTAACCGTCAACAAACAATAGTATTTGCAGACAGTTATTATAAACGAAAAAAAAAGAAAATTGTATAGGTTTCTTAAAATTCATTTTGACAAAGTTTATTGTAAAACAACACATTGTATTTATATTTAATTAACGGCATATACAATTTCTTATTGCATTAACGATTAATCTGTAGTTTATAAAATTGCATCTTTTAACAAGTTTCTTATTTACAAAGAATAATTCAATTCTTGTGTAATGTTAAAAATAATTTCTGTAAATTAAATTTCAAATCCATATCTATAACACAAAAAAAAAAAAACTATATAAATGTGCTAAAGAATCTAGCGTTTAAGCATGATTTCTAATACGTTCCTTGAAAAAAAATACTACTTATTCTTTTATTAACGAACTATGATCTAACAATCGATTGTGACATGTTTGTCGTAGAATTATTAAATGAATTTTGCCGAAAAGAATATCGCTTATAATTAACTTAACATTTTTCTTTTATCAGGATAAAGTACCGTTAAAGTGTATGATGAATCCGCATGGAAAAGTATTGGACATACATGGTATCCAAGCTTTGGGCGAAGAAGTAAACATTGAACCAATGCCAAAAAATCCTGAAAAACTCTTTGATATCGTCCGCGACTTAAATAATCAAAGAGGCCGCGGTAATGAACAATTTTCTTTACAGGTGTTCTAACTAGGTGTTCTAACAAGGCAACATTCTGAAACGATAATCACCGATATTGATAAAATTTTGGTATATATTAGTTCTCAAAAAAATATTCGACATTTATTCTTTTTTATACGTAATTGTCCACGTTGAAGGAGTGAAAATCGCTTTCAAAGATGAGGGTAATAAACATATGTGGTAAAAATTATTTATTATCTTTTATTTTCCAAATTTGACGTTGAAATATACAAAATTCGTCAATTTACACTATTTCTCTATCTCTAATAGATTTCGAGATATTAGAGTAAATATATTTACCACCTCGAATTTTCAGGGCGATTTTCACTCGTTCGTGAAGAACCACGTGTCGAATAGTTTTTTCGAGAACTACTGTATATCAAAGTTTCAACAAAATCGGTGATTATCACTTTGAGATGTTCCCTTTTTAACCCTTCTGTGGGTAACCGGGTATTCTTATATTTCCTTTAACAATTTCCCGTGTTGTGAAACCGCTTTGGACATTTTCACGTCGATCTACTTTTCCAACGCAAAAATTTATGCAAAAATTTTGAAATATTAAAGCTTGAAATAACCGTGAACATTTCGTTTGTCCACACAAGGGTTAAGTGTGTGTTATTCGATTCAAAGAACTGTCATTTTAAGAAGCTTACGGTTGTCTCAGGGATTATTATTAATTATTAAACATAAGATTGATTTACAGGTGCTGAAATATTCGCGAAGCGCAGGAAGAGGTCCGAAAAATGGGTCGTAGATAAGGATCAGCCACAAACACCGAGCACACCCGGTGTATTAAAAACTCCAACGTACGCGGGAAAACCGGTAAGCCTTACTGTTACACTATAGCACGAGCCACGATTTAGCGAGGTCGTAAATTAAATCCTCGAACTGTATTCCTTTTGGATTTCTGCGGAATTAAAGAAGGGTGTAGAAATTTGGCGGGAAAAGAGAGGAGGGGAAGTGGACCCCAAATATAAAATATCAGCTTCAGCCAATCATTAGTTTCCGAGATATTAATAGAAACTGCGTGTACAGACGTTACTAACACATTGAGTGCTGCCTATCCAGATGTTACTAAACAATCGTCTTCACTGTGAGGTTGTCGCCCTCACTATCGAGTAGCTAATGATAATATGAGCCGTTTAATGCGAAAGTGGTGTAAGTCAAAATAGTTGAATTCTGAATAATGATGGATAAAGTAAAAGTTCTGTAAAATTCAAGAATATGGAAAAACGTTAAATCTCTTTTATGTAAGCCACTGTATAGTGTATACCTTAAGCCAATAACGCCATTTTGCCCCGAAAATCAAGTTTATATATAATCATTTTATTCAATATTCTTCTGACTTGCACCATTTTCGTGCAAACCAGGAAGGTAGTTATTATTAGATGTAATAAAAAAGGGATCTGCTTGTCGAGATAGACATTATGTTTCTATTGCTTCGTTAATTACCAAACAAATTATTTAAAAAAAAGTGAATAAAACGTATAAAACGTGGTTTACATTGTCGTCATTTATCTCACACCAAAGACTGACTTACACCATTGCCATTTGAGTATGTGGTTCTTACTTATTTTTCCATCCACCGAGAAACTAACGAAGATATACTTACACCACTTCTGCACGAAACAGAATGAAGGTTGAGCTTTCGAGATGTGGCGTTAACTCAAAAAGGCAAAAAATTCACTTACACCACTTTTGCATTAAACGGCTCATATGTAGCGGTAGCGACCTCAGTATCTACAGGGTGTCCCATGTAAAATTTCGGCGTAGCGACGATTGTTCTGATATTGCCTAGATATTCGGTGGTATTAGACGCTGTGCTCCAGCTCGACTGATCAACAAAATGATTACATACGTGGTTAGGTTAGGTTAGATTCAAATCCACGCTTTCAGTAGCTACTTCGTTCAATGAGCCTTACTTGGACGAAGATATAGTGCCCATACTCGATACTGTACAGTTTCAATGCACAGTACCGATAGTTCTTTTTTTATTAATATCTCTGAAACTAACGATTGGCCGAAGCTGATATTTTATATTTGGTATTCACTCTTCCTTCTTCCCCTCCACGCCTAATTTCGTGTCGATCGGCCACCGATGGGCCTATTGGAACTTGATCCTAAAAGAACGACGACTCATGGTTAACATCGTGGTTTCATTTACAAGTGGAAAATCTGCAAATCTGTTAATTACTATTTGGAATATTTCGAATTATTCCTTAAGCCACGAATGTTTTATAAAAATCAGTCGAACGACAAAGTTAAATTTACCAGCAGATTTCAAACATGTCTTCGTACGGCCCTGGCCGAGGCTCCAGGTCCTTAACTGTTCATATTTATTTCTGTCAGTTCGATTGTCTCGACACCCGAAATATGTTTACTTTTACCCCTGACCGATTTTACACGTCCTCGCTGTATCGTGGCCTGTATTGTCGCAAAAAATAACTATTAGGTCTATGCAAAAGTTCCCATCGTCGATATAAATCGTCGAGGATAAATACACGTTTATTTTTTACTGTTTTTCATAGTTAGTCGTTATTCAAGTAATGATAATATTATGTACTTATTGCCATAAATACTAACGGTGAAAATTAGAAAAAAAGGGGGAAAGAAACGTACAGTGCTTTTTAGTGTCGTTGATTTACAAGCGATGAAAATGTTTTGCACAGACTGTGATACTTCGAACTAGAACTTAAAGAAATCATATTGTGCACAGGAAATGAATGGCAATTCGAAGTTTTCCACTCTACCTCCGCTTACACCTATAGTACCTGAGCCAGCCGTCGAGAAACCGTTTTATAATCCCTTTACCGTGGACTTGTCTTTAGACACAAATCTACCCACCACAGGTATGTCAATTTCAAATCCAAGTTGTATCATCTTTATTCTGTTCAAACTAGTTGGCACGTTTCTATTTGGCAACGTTCCATGCTGTATTCTTGTTTGCTCGAATTGTTTTCAAATCGCGAGCAAATAGTTAATCATTTCGAAGGATTGAAATTTCAGTCGGCTCGGTTTTACTGTTTATTTTTACACCGAGCTGCGAGCACCAACTGAAATTTTCATTGTAATTAATTCTACTGTCGTTCACGATGGTAGGATCTATGTGTAAGATAATTATGCGGCCAACTGACAAGAAGAAAAAGTCGTACCAGAAATACCAAAGGCATTGACATTTTCTCTATGTTAGACGCAAGTCGATGTTAAACTTGTCCGTAAAGCTTCGCCGAGAGTTCAGTAACCTAGAAGGCATCAATTGGCAGACGCCGTCAATGTTATTCAATCGATGCGGTACCATTGTCGCATTCTTTTTCGTTGTATATCTAAAATAAACAACGATCTATACTTCGTTGCCAATCGATATCTTTTTATAGTATCCACTTGAAGCTGTATGCAAATAAAAGGACGTTCACAAATTTAATCTTGCTGAAACTAACAACATCCGCTAAGTCGAACGTGTTCGTTTGAAAATCTATATTTTTAACAATACTCACGGGGAATATGTACTTGTGCAATTTGATCGTATCGTGGGGAATATTTTATAGCTATTTGTAGCACGATTAAATTGCATTAGAAACAAATGTACAGGGTGAACCGCGTAACGTGATCACTTTAAATTGTTCTACTGTCAGTGAACCGATTGAAAGTTTTTTCTGTTGCTTAATATGTTGCAGAGTTTCTCGAGATAACTATAGTATACTTTTTATTAGGTGTTTCTTTCGAAGCTTTCAGGGTTACCTTCAATTTTTTTAATATAAATGCAGATATCGTAGAATGAGCTATTTATTCACAACTGAAGGACGCCATTTTGAACATTATTTCAATAAATAAGTAAATTTCATGCTTTAAGACAATAATTTCTTTACTCTGTAAGATATGTACCGCTTTGTTCTGCAACATTTTGCCGTTTCCCGGCAATTTGAAAATTCCATTTTGTCAGAAAGTTTCTTTTCTTCATTTTTTATTTAAGATCGAAATTTTCATCTCTGAATTTTGCAAATCATTTGTGATCCATTTTTTTCTTGATAGATTACCTTCTCAGTAAACGTTAGATATTTTGTGTACTGTTTTAACGGCATTTTTCCCTTCTTGGTAAAAGAAAGATATCAAGTGTCGAAAATCTACTTTACTTCTTCCCATCTTCAAAATACTATAACTCCGAAGAAAAACTGGTAATTGTAACCAAATAGACTTTCAAAAGGCACGTGAAAAATTTATCTTTAAAAATTGTACGGGAACTTCGTATGTTTTCGTCGAGTTTTATTTGTTTTAACGTATCCAAACGCCATCTATCAAAAATCGGTACGAACTTTCCGCAGAACTCAATATGTATGTAGTTCTCGGTGATCATTGAGGTTATCTTTTAGAGAGCGACGTAAACAATGGCTTAATTCGATGGCTTGAGAATTTGGGACAATGTGGTAGAATGTGTTTTACAGCAATTGTACGATTTGCTTGGTAATGAGATGAGAGTGTATGCTTCTAGAGTGGCCTATCTTAATTCTATTAATTATCTTTTGTTCCTTTCGAGTCAGTTTTGAGAAGTGAATGTCTAGTTTGAAAGGACTGCCTACTGTTTCTAAAATGTGTAAAGTAGCAAAGTTTTTCCACTCGTTACATGGATTATTGTTGTGATTGGTTGTTACAAATTTCCAATTTCACGTATTTACTGTTTCACAACGTGCATATGAGAAAAATGACATTGAATTTTTTATGTTTCCCGCGTAATTTATATTATTAACCCCTTAACAGCCACTTCCGTAATATTACGTTCGATAGAAACGTAACTTTTATGACAACCAGTCTTCGACTAACCGTGAGTCTGCTATTGTTTCCTTCATTTCGTATTACCGCCGTAACTTTTTAACGAAGCTCTAAAAGAAGCTCGTATAACATTTTTTTTTTTATTTCGACCCATAGAATACACCGACAACGTTTGGCCATTAAAACCTGGGACACCCTGTATAAGTAATGTCCGTAAACCTAGTGTTAAGAAAAAGTAAATACGTACCTTGGATGTTTGAAATGTTTAAAGGAACCTCTACATTTCACCAATCATAGTTTCCTTGTGACGTTCTAGGTAGAAATCAGTATCGATGTAACGGTAAAGAGTGCAATCATTCGACCGAGGTGACAAAAATTTATCTGAGAGAGGTAGCCGTTGGTACCGATAACGATTTTCCGTTCGAAAATTCTCGGTCGCCAATTGTCGAGAAATCACGTCGGATCACTTTCGAGCCGGACATCGAACGGCATAATAACTATCATGGCAGATATAACACCAATGAGAATACAACACCGTCGATTTCCACTAACAGGCGCAATTACGCGTATAACAAAGCTTCGCAGGGCAAATATAATTTTTCTAACGCGCAGCACGTTACTAACAGAGAGATTAAAAATTACACGAAGGAGCAACGGGTGACGGAGTGTATAAAGAGCACGATTAACGAAAAAGAGAAGTTCATGAGTAACCAACGGGAGATCGAGAGCGAGGAGAACGAATACACGCCGATCCCGGTTAAACAATTGATACAAGAGTTTGAGAAAACCTGCAGACCGGTTATGCAATATAAACAGATCAGTCCAAAGGTTATTCCAATTGTGCAGCACTCTTACCACGACAATGACATAACGAGATTCTTTGAAACGCGAAGCTCCGTTAAGTACAACAACGAGGAAGAGCATAGGAGGTGAGATGGAATGAAATTTTGGGGGGCGTTGAATGAATTATTGTATATCTCTTATAAATGAAATTCTACAAATTAGATCGTTAGACTAAATTCAATCAGTTCGAATCGTGTTGCCTTTGTATTCTTTTAATTAACAATCAGAATGCATACATTGATTAATTTTATTCTAAATCTTCTTTTCTTTTTATTTTTAAGGTGATATTTTATTTCTAGTTAGACTATTCTATTTTTCTTAATAATTTTCAATTTTTTCACCATTCTTTCTTTCAGTGGCTCTGTTTCAATGGCGTTATTTTCTCGTGCATAAATCTGCATTGAATTGTATGTCCGTTATAAACAAATACGTCTGATTAAAAATTATATGTTATTTGTAACATTTAAAGCTTTATGCTATGTGAGAAAGAAGACAGTTATTATTTAATACAAATTTTATCGTTTAATATTTCAAATTTTATTCATCTCATTTTAAATAGGCTTTTACAATAAGTAACGAGTACGTTTTTAACGAGTTGAAGGTTTTATTATATGTATTTATTATTTTCTCGAAAATTTGCAAATACATTTAGCATTAGGTAAATATGAAGAAGAGAAGGAAAACCAATATGACACGTTTTAACAAATTACCAAATAATTTTCAAAGATTAATTACATTTTAACCCTTCGTTGTTATTGACGGTCCAAGCTTGTATTTCATCGAAAAGAACTTTTATTTTTATCGAAAAAAGTTCGAAACATTCGACTTAACGAGCAATTGTATAATACAGTAGAGACTTCGATAACTATCCAAGAATTTTCTCGGATTTCTTTAAAGCCTAGAACAGTAAAAAAGAATTGGATCTACGAAGGGTTAACACCGATTGCCGCGATTCGTATTAAACGGAGCGTGTTGAAGAGATCCGTAGAATTTCATTTATTCGATTACAATTGAAACCTCGTCGAAAAATTCGACAGGATTGCAATTTCATTCTAATCGATTGCAATACAGAATAGCCGAGCAACAAGCGTACCAAGAACCTGTAAAGCTGCAAGAACATTGTAACAACGGTTACATATCCACCGATGATACAGAATACACAACAGACGATACCGATTCCCAGATGAACGATTACAGCGAAGAAATAATGTACCGTGAAAAATCCGAATCCTCGAGTATAATGAACGGCGAACAAGATTATACGTCGATGTATCACGAGGAGTGTTCTAGCCGGCGACGATCGATGACCTCCGAGGAAGTGGAGACTTTCTGCAACAACGGAGATGGGAAATTCGTGGACACAGAATCGAACGTACCGGCAGAAGCAAAGTCATTGTTACTCTCGATGATAGCTTCTCAGGAAGACATTTTGGACACTATTAAACATTTGCGCAATACACCCGTTCTGGACAATCTTTTGCATGGTGTTTTACCGGATTGTAAATTCGCCGACATTTGTCCGGATGTAGGGGATGTAGGCAAGTTAATTCGCATGCGCTCTCATTTTTCTCTAACATCTACTTTACTAACTATGCTTTATCTTCATTTCACCCGTTTTTTGTTTGTGTTTTTTTTTTCTTTTAAACTCTGATCGTTGGTGAAGCTATTTTGTGCGTTAAGCTTGTGATACGAGTAATAGTAATGAAGAAGAAGAAGAAAAAACAGAAGAAGAAGAAGAAAACCAATTAATAAATTCGTGAATGACATTCCCCCCGATACAGTGTAAACGTACATTTTGTTTTTTTTTTCAATTGTTTCTTCTTGTAGGTAAAAAACTTTACGAAGATAATACGTATACCGGACCGAAACTTGCCAGCGTTCACAACTTAACAAACTATAATACTGCACCTCGTGGTTGGGATCAGTCTTTGACATTTTATCGACCAATCAAATTCGAGAAACCACAAGAGATTGTTTATTCCGATTTTTAGGCATAATTTCAATATTTACGATTATATTTGGGTACGTTTGAATTTCTTACATTTCGGTGCTAATTGTATACTTGGTGGAAGAGATATAGCGAGGTTGTAAAATTAGACAGGTCTAAAAGAACACGATATCCGATCGTCGCGACATCTGTTTGGGTGAGATAAAGAGCTGGAACCTCGTTCAGGTCGTACTGTTACACCCTCAAATATTTTCTTTTTTAATCTTAGTCTTATCTGTATCCACAACTAAATAGTCACCAACTTTCACCATTACTCACACTGGATTCTTCATCTTCCAACTCTCCTACACAGTCATAACCCAAAGTTCATCTTCCTCAAACCCTTAAATAGACCTATTTTTCCATCCTCGAGTCACCCTCTGTATTGTCATCCGCACGTCACGTTCCGCCGGTTTTAATAAAGTTTCTTTTCTACGCAACGTCGATCCTTAATTGCTCCTATTTAAATGTCACCTCAATACCTGCCCTCAGTTTCGAGAAATTCAGGCAAAACCGGGCGACACAGTACGAAGAAAAAATTAAAAGAGACTCGAGTGTATTTAAAAAAGGTAGATAAGGATCTATACTGATCGGATTACCCGTTTTGCCGCCTATTTAGAAGCGTCAGCTATCCGGGGCTTCCCTGACGCGTGCTGCCCCCTGTGCAGCTACAATGTACTTAAATCAATCAATGTTTTCGCTTAGCTGCGTGATTTACGATCTCATTATAGCTGTTCCACTAAGTATAATTGTACAGTTAATTTTAAATTTGAACATTTATGTAAAATGTATTAATAAGAAAAATGATTTTTGTTTTCAGGAACCAAAGATCCGATTACGGAATTACACAACGGATTAGGTTAACTTTTTCCTTCGTTAATTATTAATTTGTTTAGTTCGAACGATATGGACAAAAAGAATTTCGTAATTAATAAGTAAGATCCTGCGCTAAGAAGGAAAAGAAATTTGCAGTATGTGTATAATGTATTTTGAAGCTTCGTTTTGCTTGATGTACCTACCTCTCCCATTATTAAGATATTGATCCTTATTTATGCTTCTCAGCAGTGTTGTTGCATTTTACTTTATGATATTACCTCAGTAAATGTTGTTTTCGTACCGATACGGTGTACTTTGACTATTATATCTATTTTATCGTGTAACAAAGCATAATGTTGAATCATTTCAGTAATCAAATACTATAATAAAAATATTTTATATTAAAATCTCTGTGCTTCAATAATTTTAGGCGGTTAATTAAAAATTACCTACATATTACTTTTGTATCATTTCAATGAAAAAGCTGATAAGAACGATTTCAAAAGTGAACAAACTAATTCGTATACTGAACATTTATCTATAGTTTAACCCTCTTGTTCTTGACATTAAAGAAATGAATCTAATAAACAAGAATAGAAAAAAATTGAATTGTTCGGGATTAATTTCATAATGTAGTTAGTAATTTGAAATAATAAAAATGTTTTATTCATATGAAAAAACTTTCGGATAGAGTGTTTGGTAAATATGTACATATATCGATAAGTTTTCTGATAAATCGATAATATCAGTGAAATTTCGTGTCAATTACATTTGTAATAGCTATCAACGAGAGAAACTACGAATTCTTCCTCCGTCTGAGAGGAAGCGAGAGGGACAGTTGTCTGTCCGTGTTATCGTCGAAATGTTAGAAAGCGGTTAGAAAATTGGCTCGCGATCCGCGAAGGTCACGTGTTCCCGCGCGAACGCCCACATGCTAACGCGGCTTGTTGATTAGCCGCGCTTTATTAGCAGCGGTCGAATGTAAGTATGGCGGCTGTGGACGCGCTCGAGAGCATTCTTGCTGCGCTCTTTTGGGAGAGAACGAAGGTATCCATCGGTCGCCCATTAGAATCCCATTTAAAAAAACAAAGGTGACCTTCATATCTCTGAAGCGACTCCACCTAGCAGCAAAAGATTAACGCCATACTACGGCCCCTGTTGTCCCATGCAACTTTTGTTTCGAAAACCTTTCTACTACTATCATACTTTCGGAGTTATTCTAGGTGGCAATAGTTAGTGCCCCGCCCTGTATAATATTTTTATTTTTATTTACTATGTGAACGATAAGTTTCAATTTTTTTTTCAATTTTTTCAATTCGATTTGTTCGATTTAGATAGCAACGCGCTCTATCGTTGAAGTGTTTTCACATTATATCTGCAAACCTAAAAAGCTTCAGTACGAAAGAGCTTTAATACGAGCAAGGGTTAGTATCACCGTACAAATAAGATCGAGAGTCTTGTTTATAAGATTGCAACTACTTTGTTCATTTCGTTGATAAAATGACCTTTATTCGGTTTTTATCAAATATAGTATTAACATTTGGCTATGAAAAGTACCAACATGTACAAGATTGCGATTCTAAAATGTTTCACTTTTTTTAATTTTGTTGTTTTATCGTAAGTTTACCGGTATATTTCTATTTATTTCACTGTCAATTCAGAGTTAACTCCGATAAATAGTGTATTTTTAATTTTAACCACATTTTCTTTTAATTCTAGCTGTGTGAACAATAGTAAAACTGTAAAAAAAAAAAACCGTAACTCAAATTCTATTCGTTTAAAATGTAAAACATTGAAACACTCTTTTGTTTTAATATTGATCCTTTCGTTACGCTAAAATCAAAGATCTATTCATCGAGAAAATATCATTTTGAGATATATCTTCAGTTGCTTAGATTAGACTTTATCATTAGTACATTAAATGTTGTATTATATAAGATGATACGATACGATTAAATGCGATATGTCAATCGCCGAAGGAAATATTCGAAGAGATAATAAGATAGAGATTTTAATTAAGCAAAAAGAAAGTACTTTGTTCATTATTATTCTACCAGTAAACAAAGCAAGACTTATTATTTCATGCGACCTATTAACACTTTGCTTCTACAAAATTGAGCCCAAAAGTGAAACAATATACAGGGTGAGCCACGTAGAACAGGCCACCTAATTATTTTTTCTAGCTATGGCGGTACGAGAAAACTTTTTATACGTAATTTAAATGGTTTCAAAGGGTGAATAAGATGGAAGAAACATTTTTCTTCAAGGTCACCCATGATTTTCTACATGAATGTATATATTTTTTTCTACTATATATTGTAGCAGACATCGATGTGCATTTAAACATGCATAATAATATAACCTTAAAATGACCGTGGAATCTAAAATTTTTAAATAAATATTAAACTTTCTTTCATTTCTTGCCATTTCTTCCATCAGAAAAATTTATATACCTATATATAAAGTTATAAGTGAATATTTTAAATGAAATGTGATACACAAGATGTACCACGCTCCTTTCGTAACGTGCCTATGATTAACATTTTTCTTGTTGAAGCTCGCCATTTTGAAATGTGTAATTTCATTGAAATGAAATAATTTTTAACGATACCATTTCTCTTGATTAAGTCGACACTTCAAGATTCAGGGTCGTTTCAAGGTCGTAGTAAGGTTGTTGAACTGGTCTTAACATCAGCTACAACAGTATATCAAAAATACGTAGTCATTTGAAAAAGTCAAGGTGACATTTTTCGAAGGTAATTTTTTGATAATTTCTTATATTGCAATTTGTAGCCGATTGAAAGCTGATTAACTTTTATTTAAAACACTTTTTTTGTCAGATCATCGAAAGTGTCTGAAAAATCGTGACGACAATTACATGGTTCACCCTACATGTGTATATAAATTTTTTCGATGAAAGGAAGGGCAAAGAATGAAAGGAATTTTCGCATTTCATTTAAAATTTTAACGACCAAGGTCATTCTAAGTTGTACAAAAGCAACGACGACGATGTTAATATAAAAATAAAACTATACTGAACGATAAAAATTGGTTATGTTATTTTAATCGAATTAAAAATATTGCTCGGAAAGTTACAAATGATACGGCTACTATATTCGTCATTATATTACTCTTTCCGATGTTATTACGTACCCCAGAACAATATTTATGAAAACTGTAACATCAGAATGTGTCTGCTTTATGTTAAAGTGTCATATTATTCGATACTTATTCGCGTATCTATACTGGTACAACAGGCCAGCATTTTACTGTTCAATTTATATAAAGTAAAGGGTGGACCAAAAGTTCCCTAGGTGATTTGAAATTAGTAATAACTCTATTACGTGTATTGAATCCTTTAGTAATTTTATTCACACGAAATATTTTTAGAGAGAATGGAGATTGTTTTTTTTTTTTATATCAAGTGTGAAAAATAACGTTGCATAAATGTCTACAGTTTTTAGCTTCGCATAACTCTGCTCATAATCAAGCGATTCAGGAAGTCACCCTCTTCTCTTACGAGTTGTTGAAAACGGACTGTAAAATGTAGCTGGTGTTCGTAATCTTGTGGCTGTACATTTTGTACGAAGGAAATAATAATATTTTAAAAATGATGCAAATGATGCATTTAATTTTAGGAATAAACAGTTACAACTTTTGTAAAATAAAGGACGAACAACGAATAAGAAACTCTGAAGAAAAGGCGAAAGGGAAGAGTAAAAGAGCACGAAAATTACTCAAAAAAGCACAGAAGGAGACTGCCGACAGTTTTTCTGATGCAGAAGGATTGCTCTGTGGACTTGGAATATTAGATAAAAGATAAAATAACTAAATAATAACAAATAACTCCGCCATTTTGAAGCAGTTTTGATTGAAAAAAATTGGAAAATAACGGCAGAAGTTACATATTTGTCTACCAAAAAAAAAAATGAAACTTGTCACTTAGTAATTACCTATGAAAAAATTCCCAAAGAAAGCGATTTTTTGAAACTGTCTGGCAGGTGTACCCCCTTAAAATGAGTCTCTTCATCATAAATCTCTAGAGCTTGTAGTTTTACAATCTTAAAAAAAAATTAGCCTTAAATGTCTTTAAAAAAAGTAATTAATTTTTAAAATTACCTAGGAACTTTTAGCCCACCCTATACTTTAGTTACGGTACGAGTAAGTTAATGCTGTAAAATCATCATTCTATTTCACTTTGTCTCAATATGTTCGTCGTCGTCCTTTGTCACTGGTTGTAGCAATAAAGAGAGTGCTGTGGTAGCAGGAGAGGTGGAACAGAGTGAGAACGTAACACTCTGACTAGCCAATCTCGCGAACGCGCAATATATGTTCAAACGATAAAAGCCGGTACCGGCGAGTATCTTCTATCTTTGTTGCAATCGCAGTAAATGCGATGTGCTGAACCAGTATAAGTAGAAAAAGAGTCGGTGATTATTTCATTAGTGTGACAGAGCATTAGTGGTGTGTCAGTATTATGTTGTGGTCGGGTTTCTTGGTTCCACTGGCTTCACTCCTGCTGTTGTTCACCTATGGACAAGCAGCAAGCATACCAAAGGAAACAGTTACACGAACATGCGGCTACCAGGTATATGAATGAATTCTGGATTTCAAGATTTCCTAAAAGTGGCTGTATAAATCTTCTCCCTTTTGGTATTCTTATCAAATGTCGATATAAATTTTATTCTTAACCCCTTGTCTTGCAATTTTTTATTGGCTGTACATATAAGTGTCAGTTATTTATTGTTTTAATGCTGTATGTCAGATAAGAAAAGCTAATGTATTATACATGATTTATATTTGGCAATCTTCAGTTTTATAAATTAAAACTAAAGTTAGAATTAAAATTAACTCTTGTTACTAATATAACTGTTTTTGTTGCACCTTGATCAGAAACTGTACGTGTTATTATAAGGAATGGGGTTAATCAATTCTGTACATATTGAAAATACTATCAAACAAACAAGTGTGTACCTATGTTATGTATACAGGGTGCTTCTTATAAAGTGACCGATTGAGTTTTCTTCAAAATGAAAAGAGATATGAAAAATGGATCAAATGAGAAATGTTCTGTTCCAAGGAGGAAATCTTTTGATGTATACGGTAGTGTTATAGGTGGAGGTGTTTAGATGATCTCAAAGACAACTGAATTTTTTTAAATGGGACCTTATATTTTTTCCTTTATAGTCTGATTGTATTCTGAGTATTCTGCATGATGAGTTTATTAACCATGGTACAAGTTCATCTAAGGCTATGCATAAGTCACATGGAGCTAAAAACTTTAACTATTATGCTTCAGGGAGATAACATGTTTATTTCTGTGTATAATGTGTGTATCTCTTTCCATTTTGGAGAAAATTCAATCAATCACTTTATAAGAATCACCCTGTATTCCTGTTCATAAGTATTAGAATACTTACTGAATATGAGGCATACTGAAATCTATTGAAATAGATTGAAATTGATAGAACTCTGCTGAAATCTACCAAAATCTACTAAAATGTACTGAAATCTATTGAATTCTATTTAAATCTGCTATATTCTATTAATATCTATTAAAACCTACAGAAATCTATTAAATTCTACTGAATTCTACAGATATCTACAGCATTTTCATTATTTTAAGGATTGCATAAAAACTTTCATTTAAATAATACAGCGGGCAAATGAGATGCAGTTTCGATTGTTTTCGCACCGCAATGAAAGTTAGGTTAGGTTGCCAGTCGCCAAATGGTTGCATCGAAGCTTTCGTTGGAATTCTGTGTAAAAGCTTCTAAACACCTTTCTAATAAGTCATCTCTAGATAAATCTTTATAAATTGGTAACAGATGATTTTGAACAGGTTTGAAAAAACCGGGTTGATGTTGAAATTCGTCAAGTTTTTCTGTTGCCCCTGCAACTCTCCATTTATACCAGCTTTCGGTTCCTGATGGACAGCAGCGTGGTGTTGCGAATTTTCGTTAATAGAAGACATGTGGCTAATGAAGATAATACGCGCCGAATTCGCAGAATTCAGATTTATTCTCATTGCAGGTCCATAGTACTTTGTCAATTGTGAAACAACGATACCATGCGTGCAGATTATTACACTATCCGTCCATCTGAAAATTACATTTCATAAACGTCACGAACATATGTATTATCGTGACACTCTATATCCACTTATCTCCGTCTCACCAAACGAGCTCTACTTTCGTTATTTTCTCGAATTCGACTAGAAAATTTTAGGAGAATGTTTCTGAAATGTTGTACTTTCGATTTATGCAACGAAATATCGATTTTTTTAATCTGTTACACGAGAATTCCCTCTTTTAATCGATTCAGCTCGTCATTCCCTACAAAAAGATATTCAGCTACTTATACTAAAAAGGAACCATTAGTTTAGAAGATATTTTAATTTCAACCGTAACAATAGTAGTAATAGTAATAGTAGTACAGTAATAACAGTGCAACTATGAACGGTAACATAGAAAAACAAATTTTATAATTAAAAGAATAAAAAGTTGTTGGTACACGACTCAAATTTGAGGAAAATAAAAACGTAGTTTTCACAGTCTAACACTTTACCGCCCGGTTTGTACCTACTTCGATAACAAGAGTTCTAATTTGAATGATTGACAACCATCAATCGAAACTTTTTGTATTTGTAACAACTCATTTAACAACGATTTTCTGAGATTATTTCACCTGGCCTTCTATGCACTCCAAAAGAATTTACTTGAAAAATTTCCATTTCGGTTCATAGGTTCCTCTCGCATGAGAAATGAATTTCCCCTGCTTAATTGTATTCCAGCTAGGTAATAAATGACATCATACGATGCGAAATAATTTTAATGTACCGTCAGACTATTCTATCGCTTACTTAGCTGAAACGTGATTACGAGAGGAAGCAGTTCCCCTTAAAAGCATGTTTCACATTTCAACCCTGGGCCTGCATTTATGTACGTGCACACAGGGTGTTGAAAAAGGGGCTACCCATTTTCAAGGCTTGTAACATTAATTAAACTGAGCAAAGAACGTTCAGTAAACATAGATAGAAAATTCGATATTTTCGAAGAAACCTAAACTGTTACTAAATATCCAATTCCTACTTAAATATGACTGATTGCGCATCAATAATTCCTCGAAACACATAAGCTTTGTTATCAACAAATATGGCGAGATTTTATATTACTGCCCCTTTAAATTAAAGGATCTTGCGAATTATTTAGTTTCTAATTATCTAGCTTTAATACTAAACTACACCTGAGGATCACTGTATCCCCGTGTCTTCACTTGACCGATATTCGTCGGTGTAAGGAGGTTTGCTCGGCTACAGGCATATTTTAAAACATTAATAACTAAACAACGAAGCCACAAACGCAACTTTTTTATTCTTCATTTTCGTCTTATATCGGCTTCTAAAATCATCTCTGAAATTTTCTACCAACAGTTGCCGAACACCCTGTACAGTCCCATTTAGAAGAACAGTGCAGCTACACTTTGCCATTGCATTAATGCACAACAATGCAGTAATATAGAACATATAAAACAATTTATCCTTTCCTTCCAACATTTTCTTCTATCTCTAACCGTTTTAAAGATATATGTAGTTGTGCCCTGTTGCACGAGACACCCTTTGTATAAATATACAGGTGGTTATAGCTCTGTATTTCACATAAAAATTTTTAATTTTCAAGTATTGAGTTTCCAAAAACCTTACTTTATATAAGAATGACTCGAAGAGTGAATTTACGTAAAAAACAAAATTTATGTAGTTCTACTTAAAAGAAACTGTAGTTGTACTTTGTAAGTGCACCGATGCACTTTCGAAAAAAGTCGTGCCATGGAATGTTCTTCTCTGTGATTTTTTTTTTAACTTCACTTGGAACAGAGCTATAGCCTGGCCCAATTTCCAGAATCATCCGGTATACAGTTAAATTTCTTGATACTCTTAAACAGTTTCTACACGAAAAGACAATTGATCGCGTAATAAAGTGAAATAGAACGAAGTCCAGTTTATATTAAAAATCAACGTTTTGTTTAA